CACGTGCAAAGGTCCGGGGGCTGGAAGCCCGACAGCAGCCAGCCCACAGGGCGGAGGTGCAGGGCTGGGTTTCAGGGCTGCCTGTGGCTTCTCTGGGGGGGGGGGGGGAGCCAGTGCAGACCTGGAGCAGGAGTGAGGGGATCTGCCCGCCGTTTAGCAGGCTGGTGGGGGCTGAGGGGTCGGGGTGGACGCGGGGCGCCTGCGGCAGTGTGCGGGCTGGACAGGAGGGGACCAGGTGGAGGGCACGTGGGCAGACTCGGGCTGGCGTGTTTTGAAGGTGAGTCCTTGGGATCTGACACCACCTGGACTGGCCGAGTGGAAGAGAAAGGAGGGGCCTGGTGAGGGGCTGCTTTGCTTCCCAGTGGGGCCCAGGGCCGCCTGGGGGTGCAGGGACCCTCGCCTGGGCTCCCGGCCGCTCCTCGCTCTGTGGTCCGTCTGTGCCAGGTCCCCACCTCACGCAGTGGCCGAGCCCCTGTCAGACGGGACCCAGCGCACTTCTGTCTGAAACAGCCTTGCTGTGGCCACGGCTGTAGTGGGGTCTCGCTCTGCCTGCGGGGCCTCTGGGGGGCCCGGGGCGGTGGCGTCTGCCTATGTGTAGAGAACGTAAAAGCAACAATAAAATGTGCTGAAAGCCATGTGCTTGTCCTGTCGCCATAGCGATTGTAACCCTGGTGATGATAAAACATCCCATCCCAACTCCCGGGGTGGCGGCCCCGCCCCCTCCTTCCTCTTCAGTGTCCCAGGGAGGGGCCACGCTGCTGCCTCTCCCCAATAGAGACCCAGTCTCAGCCTCATTCCTGAGGCCTGTCCCTGGATGGAGACAGCAATGTGACACCTCTGGGCTCGGCCACCCCGGGGGTACGACACACTCCCCCCAGGCGACCATTGCACTCCCCTCACATCCCGGGGCTCCCAGGTGCCCCCCTCATATCCCGTGGCTCCCAGGTGCCCCCCTCACATCCCGGGGCTCCCAGGTGCCCCCCTCACATCCCGGGGCTCCCAGGTGCCCCCCTCACATCCTGGGGGCTCCCAGGTGCCCCCCTCACACCCCGGGGGCTCCCAGGTGCTCCTCTCAGATCCCGGGGGCTCCCAGATGCCCCCCTCACACCCCAGGGGCTCCCAGATGCCCAGCTGCGGGTGGCCACTGGGTTTTAACCTGCGGCTCCAGCGTGTGGCCCCCACAGCTGGGTCAACCTTTCGCCAACACCCGTTTTGCTTTCCAGAGCGTGTCCTCGTCCTCAGCTACGGGCCCTGTGGGCACTGGGACGGGTCCCAGCACAGGTGCGTGTGGTCAGTGTGCACCGACCTAGACAAGTCACAGGCCCCCGTGTGAGGACTCTGGCAGATTCAAACTGCTTACCAACGGACTGAGGACGGGAGGCGCTCCGACAGCTGAGGCGCGGGGAGGAGGTCTGTCTGTCCATGCACACGGCCGGCCCATGGCAAACATGCATCACGCCTGCAGCGGCCTGTCCATGCGAAGTGCTTCCTTCTGGGCGGGACCTTTCAATCCGAAGTTAATCGTGCGGTGGCAGGGGTGGTGTTTGTGCAGCGGACTCGGTCCCGGGGCGCGGGGAGAGAATCCTAAGAATCTGCTGTCCCGGGAGGGAGGGAGAGAGGAGCCCAGAGCCCGGCCACCTGCTGTAATTAACCAGCGACTCCCCCGACTCCCCCGACTCCCCCGCCGACCAGCAACAAGGAAGCCGGTCCCCGGGCGCCCGGAGAGCCGGACACGGAGTGACCAGGGGTCTGCGCTGCCCCAGTTACTGGAGCTGTGACTGTGACAACGGGTGGGGCTCAGGCAGCAGCACCCCCGTGCCCCCCGCTGGAGCGGGTCCCCAGGCACAGTGCACCCCACTTCACTCCACCGTGAACAGCTGCGGCCCCAGGAAGGGCCCAGCCCCTTGAGCCTCAGTGTCACTACCCTGGTGGGAATGCCCCCCCTGCTCGCGGAGGAGGGGCCCAGCACCCCGCCCCGCCCCCAGAGCGTGGGAGCCCTGCTGTCCGGCAGGGGCAGTTGCGGGCTCCTGTCCACCGCTGACACGTCTTCCTTCCAGCCCACGCACCCCCGGTTCTGGGTTCCCCAAGTCTGGGGGCCACACTCCACACCCCTGTGAGGGAGGGTGCAGGCACCGGGTGGAGGCTGAGGAGGGCCCAGCACCTCCCTCTGCTCTGGAGGCCCGGATCTGGGGTGCAGCTGAGCAGTGGGAGCAGCAGCCCTCTGCCCGCACAGCGCTCCATAGCTCCAGGGCTCGCGGCACCAACTCAGCTGCTCAGCCTCCAAACTCAGAGGCATAACTCCGGACATGGTCCTTGTGACTCTAACAACCAACTCCGTAAAGGGCCAGTGAGGCACCTGAAAGGGGCAGTGTGCGAGCAAATGTGCAGGACTGGACACAGTGACAGACACAGCCTAGCGTCAGTCATCGAGGCTGTCACCCACACGCATGCATGCACACACATACATGCACACACAGCACGCACACTTACACGTGCATGCACACACAGCATGCACACATGCACGCACACACCGCACACACGTGCTCACACTCATATGCATGCACATAGCACGAACATGTGCACACACTCACATGCGTGCACACACGTGTGCACACATATACATGCACACATCACACTCGCATGTATGCACACACTCATGTACACACACTCACATGCATATACACACACATGCACACCCGTACATATACTCATAGCACACACTCGTGCTCACACACCCCTGCCAGGAAGGGCTACTGCTCTGGCAAATGCTGCATTTCATGCCATCTATCGAATGACTGAGTTTTTCTACTGTTTTATAACTTCTGTATTTTAGCAGCTTTCCTGAGGTCTGACCTGCATGGTATGAGCTGCATCTGTCTTAAATCAACGGCGGAATGCATTTTAATAAATTTATGAGCTGTGTGGCCGGCACCCTCTGCTTGTGGAACGTCCCTGTGGCCCCGACACATGGCCCTGGCACCTGCCACGTGTGGCCACCTCCTGTCTCTGGGCCCGGCCTTTTCGGGACGCTTCGAGGCTCGTACGAAGTGCGGCGTGTGTTGGGTGGCTTCTCCCCGTGGCGCGGTGGTTCTGACGTGTTCCCTGCACGCTGCGTGGTCTCCTGTGCTGCCTTCGGAACCTGGACTCCTGGGCTGTTCGAGACGCGGTCCCCAGCCTCTCCCAGGAGCCCACGTCATGGCTGAGGCACAGTTGTCCCGGAGGAGGAGGCCGGTCAGGACAGGCTCAGGGACCTGCCTGGCCTGGCTCCTCCCAGACCCGAAGTCACACGCGCAGCCGCCCGGTTCGGAAGACAATCGGTGCTCAGGAATTCGGGGGCCTGGCCACGTCTCAGTGTCCTCAGAGGAGGGGAGCTCTCATCTCCTTGACAAGCCAGAGGGCAGTGTGCTTGGCTGTGGGAAGGGGTGCTGGCCGGAGGGGCCCGGTGACCGGAAGCCTCTGCCGACTTCCAGGAAGTGAGCTCACTGCCCGTGACCTAGTGGGGTCACTTCACTGGCCCTGAATGGCCCCGAATTGTGGGGCCACGAGACAGGTGGGGAGGGCTGGGAGTCTCGTGACTGCCCTCAGCACTGGGCACACAGGGCTCTCTCCTTTGTCCTCGCGAGCGGTGTTCGGAGGTCTTTGGTGTCACCTACAACACAGACACCCCCACAAACAGGCGAGGACTCCATCACCCCCTGGACAGAGCAGGAGACAGGCCAAGTGCTTCCTGGCTTTGGATCAACCGCCGGCAGGGAGCTACCATCAGTTCTCGGCTCGGTCCTTGGGGGTCCCGTCCACTGTGTCTCCCCCAGCCCAGGGGCCTGCGCTGGGCCTCAGTGTCCGGTGTGTCCCGGCGTGTGCGCGGCAGGGCAGCTGCTCCTCAATCCTGGCCGTGTGCTCAGACAGCCGGGCAGGGAGTGGCTACTGTCACCCTTGCAGGCGTGTGGGTGACCTTTCGTCTGTGGGTCACAGGCCCCCGAGCCAGTGGTCTGAGCGACTGGGAACGGTGAGCTGGGAACGTCAGGGGAGCCGGCTCAGCCCTCGGGCTGTTTGGCCTTTTCCCGAAGCGTTAAGTTGACTGAACGGACACGCGTGTCCGAAGTGAATGGCTTTGCATTCACCCAGGAGCAGAGGACCAGCCTCGGCCTCAGGTCGTGTGTCCGCAGGCAGCCTGGGGGCCCCAAACCTGAGCTCAGCTGGGGCAGGCGCTGAGGCGGACAGACAGATGAGGTTGCCGCTCCCTCTGACCACAGGGCGGCCGTGGGCAGCGGGAGCACAGCTGTGTGACCCCAGAATCATGCCCTGTGCCCAGCCTGCGCCTGCATCTGGGCTCTCCGCGCCAGGCAGGTGGGAAGTGACCGGGGCCCTACAGGAAGCGACAGCAGTGTCTGCTGCTGAAGGGACTCCGCAGGCCCTCGGGGGGACCTGTGTGTGGGGACCCGTGTGACAACGGCTTCGATTCATTTTGCTCAGTGAACACACATAGGAGGCTGAATGGGGTGAGGGGGGGGCTCTACTGCCCTCCGCCAGCTTCTCTGGGGACCTCAGAAGTGTCCTTGGTCCCGGCATCTGCGTCCTGGACTCCTGAGTGGCCCTGTCTGCTGGCCCGGGAAGGAGGAGGTGGCCCGTGGGGGAGTCGCCCAGCTGCAGCCCGGGAGGTGGGGCCGGCCGAGCTGTTTATTTGCATTCCAATCACCTGCGCTGTCCCGTCACAGCCCGGACCTTGTCCTGGCCCCCGGCAGGCTGCCACCCGGCCCTGCTGCTCCTTCGATCCTCCCCAGCCAGGAGGTCCCCAAGGCGCCCCGTGAGTATGGGGTGCTCTGTGCCCTAGCTGTGACTTGACAGGGGCGGGGCTGGCACGTGGTGACTCACGTGGCCCGTCTCTCCGTGACACGCAGACGGTGGCTGCTCGGCCCCACCCTGGCCGTCCCCTGACCCGCTCCCTCCCGCAGGAGCCATGAAGGCTGCCCCGTCCTGAGAGCAGCCCGAGGGCCAGCGAGATGACCAGCGAGATGACCGGCGAGATGACCGGCGAGATGCCCGTGGAGGGCAGAGATGTCCTGGTGCTGCTGCCCACTCGGGAACAGCTGCGGCTGGTCATCGGGGTGAGCGCTGAGGGGAGCACGGGTGACGGGGTGGCCTTGGCTGACGGGGGGACTGTGCGGGGGAGCAGGGGGCCATGTGGGCCACGGTGCTTGCTGCCTTCCCTCTCCGGCAAGATGTCACCTTTTGACCCCCTGGCCACCTTACCATATCTACCCCTTGCTCTGCGGCCAAACGAAGCTCACCTGGTCCCCTCAGTGACCAATGTCCAGTGTCCCGGGGCTGGGCTCACCCAGTCCCCTCTGTGTCCAGTGTCCCGGGGCTGGGCTCACCTGGTCCCCTCCGTGTCCAGGGTCCCAGGGCTGGGTTCACTCAGTGCCCTCCGTGTCCAGGGTCCTGGGGTTGAGCTCCCCCGGTCCCCTCCATGTCCAGGGTCCCAGGGCTGGGTTCACTCAATGCCCTCCATGTCCAGGGTCCCGGGGCCGGGCTCCCCCCGTCCCCTGTGTCCAGCATCTTCCTGGGATAATTTGGTTCCAAGGGACGCACCCATCTGGACCTTGCTGTGATCTGGCCTGGCTGTGGCCATGTCCCAGGCTGGTGGGCTGGAGCATCAGCCTGTCTATAGGCCACTGTGCCTCCTGCCTGGGGAGACCCACAGACCTGCTCTCCCAGATGACCCGTTAGGGGGGCGGGAGTTAGGGGTGCAGCTTCTCCCCCCAGACACCCGAGCTCTGACCTTCAGCACAGGTGCTCAGCTGCCGTGGCCTCGGGTCGAGTTTGTCCACGTCCCCTCGGTCCCCTTCCCTTTCATTCCAAGGTCCCTGTTTGGCTTCTGGGGAGGACGGGGACACTCCCAGGAACCCGGCTGGCCCCACCGAGGGTTTCATTTTGGGGACACGTGTGGTTCATGAAACGCGTCGGCCAGAACTGGCCATGGTCCAAAACGCCGTGCGGCTGCTCCTGGTGATGCGCAGGTCCCCGGGGCCTCCTGTCCACTCGGGGACACACATTAGCAGCAGACTCTCGTCAAGCCGGGGCGTCCCCACCTGGCCCTCAGACGCCGGGCTGATGGGCAGGTTCCCCAGGGGTTCCCTGGGTGTCCTGGGCCTGGAGAGGGTGGAAGAGAATGTGGGGTGGGGGTGCCGAGGCTTTGACCTGTTTCCTGGGTAAAGTTCATCGTGTGTGTGACCTCATGAGTCTCAGCTGTCCACGGCTGGGCCACCGAGGCAGCTCGCTTTCCGGGTGTGCGGCCTCATGTGAGCAGTTAGGGGGCCCCCAGCCTGCACATCAGACGGTGAAGACCCTGCTGCGAACGCACCGTCCCCGTGGGGTGGGTCGTAACAAACCAGTCTCACGGAAGTCACCTCTGAAGAGGGAGGATGTCCAACTTGAGGCCGTAGAGATGCACTGGGACCAGGGCCCCCCGAGCTGCAGAGACCCCTGTCCCCGGGCAGTGGCTTTCTGAGCGCACGCGAGGGGAGGCCCCCCGCCATCCGTGTGCACACGCACACCAGGGCCGTGGGACCCGGGCACGCAGAGGAAAGGGGGGTGTGCCGGCACAGAGCTGGGGGAACGCATCCTCTGAGGGATGGACGACCTGCGTGTCCAACAAATGAACAGCAAGGGCGACGCAGACCGAGGACCAACGTGGTGCCCATCTGGGAGGCCCTTCCCGCCTTGACCGGAAGCAGCCAAGTGTGAGACAGTCCGACCCCTGTGAATGTGACCTTCTGGGGTGTCTGATACTAAGAGACGGTTCAGTGCTCAGTCGTAATGAAACGTCGGCGGGATGATGTAAACTAGGCTGGATACAGATTCTGTGAAAACAGCACCGGTGGGGGCTGCAGGGGCTGGGGGGGCGGTGAGGTGACAGGTGGGGCTCAGCCTGGGCCCTGAGCCCTGCCGGAGGGGCCGGAGGAGAAGCCAGCCCCGCGGGGCCGAGGCAGGAGAGCTGTGGTGGGAACTGGGCGTCAGGTTGGGGGCAGCTCCGACCCAAGGGCAGGGCTTCTGAGACCCCTCTGGGTCCCCTTCAGGGTGCCCACCCCAGCCCCGCTTTCAAGATGGCCTGGTGGGTGTGGGGTCAGGATGACAGCCCAGCGGGGATGCCCTGGGGGGCTTCACGTCTCCTGCCCCCATCCAGAGGCCACCCCGAGTCAGTCCCGGGCTGGCCGACTAGGCTCTGCCCTGCGGGTGGGGCATCTGGTCCTCAGCACGGCCGTCACCCAGGATCCTGAGCACTGACTCCGGGGGACCACCTGAGCCCGGCCTCTTCCTCCCAGCCCAGCTCCGGGGTCCCACCCCCCTGCACCGTGCCCTCTGGGGGCCAGGCTGGGCTGCACCTCGAGCCCCCCCCCCCCTTCTGCAGGTGCAGGCCACCGGGCGCGAGCTGTTCCAGCAGGTGTGCGACAGAGCCAGCATCAAGGACGCCCACTTCTTCGGCCTCAGCGTGGTCAGAAGTAAGTCAGCTCGGCCCGCAGACCCTGCCCTCAGGCCCCCCCTACCCCCGAGGGAGCCTCACCAAGGGCTGAGTCTGAAGGACGCTCTCCCTGGGAGCTGTCTGCTCCGCCTCCGTCTCCCCAAATCCTGGCTGTGTCCTGCCCACTGGCCCCAGTCCGGCGGCCACCTCTGCCCTGCGTGCAGGAGGCCCCTGCCCCCGCGGGCTCAGGCGTCCCCTCCCCCCACCGGACGCCGAGGGCCACCTTCCCCAGGGTCAGAGCTGAGATGAGCGTCCCGTGCAGAACACACTTTCTCGCCCCTGGAACTCTGACTTCAGGTTACAGTGTCAGAAGTGGGCTCGCCAGTCCAGACGCGGTTCACGTTGGCGAGTGTCCGCCGTGGGGTTTGCGCCCACATGGCGTGGGGGCGCCGTCGGCGCGGGGTTCCACGGGCCAGACCAGAACCCTATCGCACGTCTGTTTGCGTTTGTAAGAAGTTAGTATCAGAGTGTTAGAACCTGAGCAGGGTCAGGTCTCGGAGGCCGGGGCCGGGGCGGCCCCCCTGCCCTCAGCTCCTCCTTCCCCTCCGTGTCCACTCCTGCTTCTCCGGCCCTTCCCTGCCTGTTGGAATCGCCCCTCACTCGACGTGGACACGGCGTATAACCTTTTTTAACCAACTAGTTAAAGTTGTGGGACCCGAAGGACACAGCGTGTTCCCGCGTCCACCTGGCGTGAAGAGACGGTCTGCAAAGAAGCACGGCCTCCTCCCGGGGCCTGGGTGTCCTCCAGAGTGACCCTCGGTGTCCACACCCCCACCCAGGAAAGCTGGGTCCGAGACAGTGTGGCGGGGTGGGGGCCAGGGGTCAGCACAGACCCCTGCGTGCAGCCCTCTGACACGGTGGCCTGGGCCCCAGGTGCTCAGACAGTTCTGTTTCCGACGTGTGGGAAGCTGGGAGGGGCCCGGCTGAGGGTGCGACCGTGGGGACGGCTGTGTCGAATGGCTCCCCGACAGTGGTGACCAGTCGCGGGGGTCAGTGTCCGTCGGTCTCCACGTCGGGAGCCATCTGGTGACGCTGCAGCCGACCCTCGACGTCCGGGCCCGGCCCCGGAAGCCGCAGCCGCCGGACCGCATCTCTGCCCACGTCCGCGCAGGTGTGATGGGCGGCGGCACGGGACGTGGCCGGCTCTGAGGCAGGCCCTGCTCCCTTTGCAGACAACGAGTACACGTTCATGGACTTGGAGCGGAAGCTCAGCAAGTACTTCTCCAAGGACTGGAGCAGAGGCCCGCAGAGGGTGAGTGCGGGGAGCGCAGGCTGGGCGGGCCGGGCGGGTCCCGTTCTGCACGAGGGGCCTTCCCAGGGGTCCCGGTGCAGCCGCCAGGGAAGCCAGCCCACGGGCCTCGGCCAGGGCTCCCGGACACCCCGGACACCACGCCTGCAGTGTTTCCTTTGAAAGCTGAGCTGAGCCCACGGCCGGCTGCTGACCTGAGCCGGGCATGGGGCTCCTCTCGCACCTCCCCACAGGGCCGCGGGAGACCCAGGGCGCCCTTCGTGACCTTCCTGCGAGTGCAGTACTACGTGGAAGACGGCAGGCTGATCAGGTGTGGTGGCTGGACTGTCCCCGGAGCAGGGAAGGCCTAGCACTGACCCGTGAGGACGCAGCGGTGCGGCACCGTGGCACTGCTGTCCCTTTGCGGGTACCGCAGCTCTCAGTGGGAGCACGGAGCCTGTGTAGGAACACGCGTGTCCCACTGCGGGTGTATTTGGTCTCTAGGTGGCGGTTTGGGGCAGGAACCCGTGGGTTTGAAGGTTCAGCTGAGATCGGGCCGTCCCTCCACACGGGCTGGCTCACTCAGCTGTGCAGCTGCGGGTGTGGGCCCGGGAGGGCGAGGGGCCCAGTCCACCTGGGCTTCCTTCCACGTCACGGGAGACCACCCTGGGGCCAGTAGGGTGACCGCAGCTGCCAGGGCAAACCAGGAGCCCGAGGTACCCCCAGATCAGGGCAGTTGGCCCCAGGGGCAGATGGGCTGTGGTCCCGACAAGCCATCTGAGACGGAGAGGTGGCGAGGAAGGGGTGTGTGATTACGTGGAAGGTTCTGGAGAGTGAGGGTGATTACGTGGAAGGTTCTGGAGAGTGAGGGTGATTACGTGGAAGGTTCTGGAGAGTGAGGGTGATTACGTGGAAGGTTCTGGAGAGTGAGGGTGATTACGTGGAAGGTTCTGGGGAGTGAGGGTGATTACGTGGAAGGTTCTGGGGAGTGAGGGTGATTACGTGGAAGGTTCTGGGGAGTGAGGGTGATTACGTGGAAGGTTCTGGGGAGTGAGGGTGATTACGTGGAAGGTTCTGGAGAGTGAGGGTGATTACGTGGAAGGTTCTGGGGAGTGAGGGTGATTACGTGGAAGGTCCTGGAGAAGACATGGGGGGTGGGCCATGGAGTGTGGCCTCCCCGTGCTGGGGGCCCCCACGGTCAGCAGTGTTAAAAGATCTTACTCCCCTCAGAGCTGAGCCCCTGCCCCTGTCATGTCAGAAAATTAGCGGAGAAGGACCCCGCTTTGGGGATGTGCTCCGTGTCTGGACCAGCGGGGTTCCAGGCCCTGCTGAGTGTGCCCTGCCCGGGTGCGGGGTTGGGGCGGTGCCCTGAGCTGGCCTGAGGAGAGCTGAGACTCCGTTGCCCAGCAGCTCACCTGGGCCACCCCAGGAAGTGGCAGGTGCTATGCCCACAGCGGAGGGACGTCAGGCCTATGACATGGCGAGTCTGGGCCATGAATGGCTGGAGGACAGGGAGGCCGCGTCCAGGGTCAGCAGAGCCCGTCCTCACCAGGACAGGGAGGCCGCGTCCAGGGTCAGCAGAGCCCGTCCTCACCAGGGACAGGGAGGCCGCGTCCAGGGTCAGCAGAGCCCGTCCTCACCAGGACAGGGAGGCCGCGTCCAGGGTCAGCCAGAGCCCGTCTTCACCAGGGACAGGGAGGCCACGTCCAGGGTCAGCCAGAGCCCGTCCTCACCAGGGACAGGGAGGCCGCGTCCAGGGTCAGCAGAGCCCGTCCTCACCAGGACAGGGAGGCCGCGTCCAGGGTCAGCAGCGCCCGTCCTCACCAGGACAGGGAGGCCGCGTCCAGGGTCAGCAGAGCCCGTCCTCACCAGGACAGGGAGGCCGCGTCCAGGGTCAGCAGAGCCCGTCCTCACCAGGGACAGGGAGGCCGCGTCCAGGGTCAGCAGCGCCAGTCTCACCAGGACAGGGAGGCCGCGTCCAGGGTCAGCAGCGCCCGTCCTCACCAGGGACAGGGAGGCCGCGTCCAGGGTCAGCAGCGCCCGTCCTCACCAGGACAGGGAGGCCGCGTCCAGGGTCAGCAGAGCCCGTCCTCACCAGGGACAGGGAGGCCGCGTCCAGGGTCAGCAGCGCCCGTCCTCACCAGGGACAGGGAGGCCGCGTCCAGGGTCAGCAGAGCCCGTCCTCACCAGGGACAGGGAGGCCGCGTCCAGGGTCAGCCAGAGCCCGTCCTGACCAGGGACAGGGAGGCCGCGTCCAGGGTCAGCCAGAGCCCGTCCTGACCAGGGACAGGGAGGCCGCGTCCAGGGTCAGCAGCGCCCGTCCTGACCAGGGACAGGGAGGCCACGTCCAGGGTCAGCAGCGCCCGTCCTGACCAGGGACAGGGAGGCCGCGTCCAGGGTCAGCAGCGCCCGCCCTCACCAGGGACAGGGAGGCCACGTCCAGGGTCAGCAGAGCCCGCCCTCACCAGACCGCCGCCCCCTCCAGCAACCGGAGGGCCAGGCACCTGTACTACCACCACCTGAAGGACCGGGTGCTGAGGTCCCAGTGTGCCCACCGGGAGGAGGCCTACTTCCTGCTGGCCGCCTATGGGCTGCAGGCCGAGCTGGGCAACCACCGGGCCTGGGCCCACGCGGGCCGGTACTTCGAGCCGCAGGCCTACTTCCCGCAGTGGGTAAGACCGTGGGGGGGAGGGGCCGGGGAGGGGGGGAGGGGCCCCGGGGGGGTGGCGGGCAGCGGGAACCGGAGGGCCTGACTGGTCTCTGCTCCGTCCGCAGATCATCGCCAAGAGGGGCAGCGCCTACCTCCTCCGGCACGTGCCGGCCGCGCACCAGGAGCAGCGGGGGCTGAGCCCCAAGGAGGCCGAGCTGCGCTTCATCAGGGAGGCCTGCCGGCTGGAGGACGTGCCCGTCCACTTCTTCAGGCTGTACAAGGTCACGCCCGGCACCACGGGGTGGGAGTTCGGGCTGTCCCGAGATGCCCAGAGGACGGCCCAGACGCGCGGCCGCGGGGTGGCCAGGAACTGAGCCCGGACGGAGGGACACGCCCACACAGCCCGCGGGGTCCCTCACAGCCATGCTGCTGTCCGGTCGCTCGGCTGTGGCCCCAGTGGGCACAGGTCCCCCGCAGGGAGTGTCCTGGAGCCCGGCCCAAGGGCCCCGCTGCCAGGGCAGCTGCCCACCTAACGCTGGCACAGGGGTGTGGGAGCCGGTGTCCGCAGTCCTGTCCACTGCAGGGCAGCTCCACCTGTTCTCAGGGACCTGGGATGAGGCCCCAAGTGGGGAGTGCGAGTCAGACAAGAGCGGGGCGGGGACTGGAAGGTCCCCAGCACCAGAGGGGAATGAGGGGGCCAGGACCTGCTGTCCCTGGGGAGCCCCCCACCCGGCACAGGGCTCTGACCTCTGACACAGGTGTCCCTTTAGGACAAGAAGGAAGACAGACCTACCGTTGTCCTGGGACTGACCCTCAAAGGAATGCACATCTATCAGGTGATGGGTGGACACCCCACCACCCCCTCCTCGGAGGGCTGGCGCCGACCCTGGGCTGACCCTGGCGGACACCCTCCTCCCTCATCCTGCTGTCTTCCAGGACGTGAACCACTCCCCACAGCTGCTCTACGACTTTCCCTGGTCCCGCATCGGGAAGCTGGCGTTCCTGGTGCGTGTCTGAGGGCTGCAGGCCGGACGGACAGGGTCTCAGCCCCCGGGGCCCGGAGAGCCCGGCAGACCTTGTCCTTCAGAGCACTGAGGGGCACTCCGCCTCCGCCAGACCCTGCCCTGGGGTCCCAGGCTCGGCGCTCTGCAGCGGAGGGTAGAGGCGACCCCACCCTGGGCAGAGCTGTCCCGCCGGCCCACCGCTTTCTGCCTGTTGTGCCGACAAAGGAAAGGGAACTGGGGGGGGTGGTGCGGAGGCTCCCGGACGCGCCTGTCTTGCAGTCCCTGCCCCACAGTCACCCTGGGCCAGGCGTGGCCCTCTGGCAGAAGGAGGGACAGTGGAGGTGCCTGGGTCCTGGGTCCATCTGGGAACTGTGCACACCCCTCCCCTCCACAGCTGAGAGGAAGTGTCTTCTCGTAACTGAGTGGTGTGCACCCCGCTTGACTGTACCCCCAAACCCACCTGCATGGGGAATTAGATTTGCCAACAGAAACAGTGGTCGCTGCCCGGCGCGGGTTCCGGCCGACGGCTGAAACACGGCTCCCTGCCGTCCGGGGGTCCTGCAAAATCGCCTCTTTCTTCCTCCAGGGAAAAAAGTTGGAGATCTGGCCGGACGGGCTGCCCTCGGCGCAGAAGCTGGTGTGCTACACGGGCTGCGCCTCCCGCTCCCGCCACCTGCTGCACCTGCTGCGCTCCAGCCACCAGCTGCACCTGAGCCTGCAGCCCGTGCGGGAGCGGCTGCGGCAGCTGGAGGAGGCGCAAGGTGGGCCCACCGTGGGGTGTGGCCCCCGGCTCCTGGGTCCCTTCAGCGACCCAGCCCTCCAGCCCCCCCGGAGCCCCGTTCTGAAGGGAGGACTGTGGGTGCTGGGGAGAATTCTCAGGTGCCCACAGGAGGGCCGAGGTGTGCATGAGAGTCTGTGCACGCATGTACATGCCTGTTCGTGTGTGTGGCTGCTGACAGGCCCTCGGGGTTGTCACAGGGCCCGCGAGGGAGCACCAGCCGCGGTGACAACCCCACCTGGGTGGCCCAGGCTGTCAGTGCGGACAGAGCCCTGAGCGCCGGGCAATACTTTCCCCGCACACACTGCATCTCCGGGGCCTCTCGCCAGCTCAGGACACCAGGGCCGCCACTGACCACGGCGGCTCCAGGAAGGTGGCAGCACCTTCTGCCTCCAGCGCTCACGTTGGCCCCCCGCCTGTCCCTGCACAGAGAAGAAGCGCTACCGGGAGACCTACATCAGCGACACGCTGCAGCCGGACCTGCCCCCAGCCGGCCGGGGGAGCAGCGGGGGCAGCAGCTGGCGACCCCGCCGCCGACTCTCACTCCTCTCGGCCGACAGCCGCAGCAGCTCCCACACGTCCGGCGTGGAGTCCGGGGAGATGTCAGTGGACGAGCCCTTCGGGGCCCAGGCTCTGCACGGAGAGGTGGCCTCCTGCAGCTCCAGCCCCAGCCGGGGCAGCGGGCCCGAGGGGAGCACCCAGGACCTGGGGCACGGTGAGTGTGTGGCTGAAGCGCTCAGCCCATCCCTCGGTCGGACTTGCGGTAGAAATCTCCCCAGGAGCGGCCAGTCGTGGTGGCCGCGGCACCGTTGGACCAACAGCTTAGCATGCGCTCCTTGTGCTCAGGGACCCTCCGCGGGTGGTCTGGGGCTTCGGGTCCTGAAGTGGCCTCCTTGTCACCCCTGTTCCCTGAGTGCCTGCACTGCCCCTGACAGTGAACTGTGGGGACCAGCCTTAGTGCTTGGCCAAGTCATCTAGGACCACCCAGGGTCACCCAGTGTCATTTAAGGCCACCAAAGTCACTCAGCATCACCAAGGGCTATCTAGGGCCAGGCAGGACCACCCAGAGCCATCTAGGGCCACCCAGGGCCACCCAGGGTCACCCAGGGTTACCCAAGGCCACCCGGGGTCCGGAGGTTTTTGTCTCTGTCCTGCCGTGTCCACCTTTACGTCCACCGGTAGAGGACGGACTGGCCGCCGTGTCTGTGTCTCTGTCCAAGCACGGGGCCGGCAGTCGGTATGAACAATGAATCCCACATGCGCCCAGTGAGCGCCTGTTTCGATCAGAACGCGTGGGGTCAGAACGCGTGGTCAACCTCGGAGAGACGGGCAGTGTGCACCCGGCAGGGAAGGGCTGGGACCCTGCCTGGTTTCCCGCAGATGGAGAGCTGGGTGCCCGGGGCCAAGGCAGCCTTGAAGAGGGGCCCTGGGGGTGCGGCCTGGGCTTGGGCCTTGCTTCCAAGGGTAGGACCCCCAGAGCGAGGAGCCCGGGTGCCCAGAGTGTGCCCCACGGAAACCCATGCGTGTCAAAGGGGACTCAGACACCTCACCCGGGAACACACGTGATCCTGTCTGTGACTGCAGGTGACCTAGAGCCCACCACCCTGCGAGTGGTAGGCCAGGGTCGCTGCCAAGGTCACGGTCCGACCGCTCTGCAATTCTGCAGAGTGCTCTGCTCCAGCCCCACCTCGGGGTGCCCGGGGGAGCAGTCACAACATGGGGTGGGCAGCCGCCCTCAGGGTGCTGAAGTTGTCCCCTGCCCCCGTGACTCCTCCCTTCCCCACAGCCTCTCGCCCCCGGGAGCCCTCGGCGGTGGTGCGGGTGACCCTGGTCAGGATGAGGGGCTGGAGCGCTGAGGCCCTGCACAAGGTATGTCCCTCTGGCCCAGCTTCTGCGACCCCTCTCCCAGCCCACCCAGGGGACCGAGCATCCTCCTCGGCCCCAGGAGGGCCCCTGGGCAGAGACCCCAGAACCAGAGCTGGGCAGTCGGGGAGACAGGCTTCTCTGGAACAAGGCTGGCCAGGGCTGGTCCCTTGGCCTCAGCACGGGAATGAGCACCCAGCTGCGGCACGGAGGTCGTTCCAGCCGAGCGCTCACAGTGTGGCCGTGTCTCCCTCCACCATCCGCCGTCCCCAACACTCAGATGCAGGGCTGGGGGGGGGGACAACTCCACCCACAGGAGAAGGAGCCAAAGCAGAGGACAGGTGGGCTGGGGTCCAGGCTGGGGGGACGCTGACCTGGGGGTGATGCCCCAGGAAGAAGACGACCAAGCCAGGTCCAGAGGAGGGAGCGAAGCCCACCAAGGCCTGGGGCGGGGTCAGCCCCTGGCGCTGGGGGCTCCTGGCCCGGGGTCTCTGTTAGGCGGGTGGCCCCTGTGGTGGTCCCCCATCCAGGGCCCACGGCTGAGAACAGTACAGCTGAGGGCCCAGCAGGACCCAACCTGAACTGACCGCGGCCCCTCAGCGCCGGCCAGGACGTGCTTCCTCGTACATGAAGGGCTGTTGTTGACTCGGACCTCCCAGACCTTGTTCCTAGAACCTGTCAGCTAGCTCTAGATGGTCCAGGTCCGAGGAGTTCAAAACGACACCAGGGCCCCAGGCCTTCTGAACAGGCCCTGGGCCCAGCCCTTGGAGAGGGCGGTGTTGGGTTCCCCATGGGGCCACCAGCGCCCTCTGTCCCCTGTGGTCCCTCCCTGCCCGAGAGGAGGGGGAGGGTCCATCCCCAGGCTGCTCACTCGCCAGCTGCCCTGGGCCTGTGCCCCGTACCCAGGAGCTGGCTTCGCCCGGCAAGGATGGGACGGTAGGGTGGGCTCAACAGTGTCCCCAGGGACACAAGGGGCGCGGGCTGGGAGGGCCGTGAGCCTGCAGGTCGAGGGGGCAGTGGGACAGGGGGGTGGCGGGTGGGCATACCCAGCAGGGGGCAGCATTAGGCCCGGTGGGGGACAGAGCTGGAGGGGTCAGCATTAGGCCTGGTGGGGGACAGAGCTGGAGGGGTCAGCATTAGGCCTGGTGGGGGACAGAGCTGGAGGGGTCAGCATTAGGCCTGGTGGGGGACAGAGCTGGAGGGGTCAGCCCAGGGCAGCCTGGTGGGGGACAGAGCTGGAGGGGTCAGCCCAGGGCAGCCTGGTGGGGGACAGAGCTGGAGGGGTCAGCCCAGGGCAGCCTGGTGGGGGACAGAGCTGGAGGGGTCAGCATTAGGCCCGGTGGGGGACAGAGCTGGAGGGGTCAGCATTAGGCCCGGTGGGGGACAGAGCTGGAGGGGTCAGCATTAGGCCCGGTGGGGACAGAGGGAGGGGTCAGCATTAGGCCCGGTGGGGGACAGAGCTGGAGGGGTCAGCATTAGGCCCGGTGGGGGACAGAGCTGGAGGGGTCAGCATTAGGCCCGGTGGGGGACAGAGCTGGAGGGGTCAGCATTAGGCCCGGTGGGGGACAGAGCTGGAGGGGTCAGCATTAGGCCCGGTGGGGGACAGAGCTGGAGGGGTCAGCATTAGGCCCGGTGGGGGACAGAGCTGGAGGGGTCAGCCCAGGGCAGCCTGGTGGGGGACAGAGCTGGAGGGGTCCGCCCAGGGCAGCCTGGTGGAGCTTCGTGACCGCAGCACCGAGCAGGAGAGGAAGACACAGCCGGACGCGCCTCTGGTCTCTGCAGATCCCGGAGGCGCCCGCGGGCCACCAGGACCGGCACAGCCACAGCCACAGCCTGGACGACATGCGCCCGCGCCCCGTGCCCGCCCCGCGCCCCGTGCCCGCCCCACGCCGTCGGCCCCGCAGCGTTGCGCTGGACCCCGGGTCCGCCACCCTCCGCGAAAGTAGGTCCACGAACTGCCTCTCCCTGGACCTTGGCCGCGAGGACCGGCTCCCGCAGGAGTTCGTGGTCTAGGCCCTCGGGGGCTCGTCCACTCCGCACGGCTCCATCCGCGTGGGCTTCGTCCACATCGCGGGCTCTGCCCAGAGGGGCTCAGGCCAAGGTGCAGGGTCAGCGCGCACTGGACGGCTCCGCCCACGCGGGCCCCACCCACAGCACGTGGCTCCGCCCACGACGCCAGCTCCGCCCTCGCGGGCCCCACCGGCAGCACGTGGCTCCGCCCACGACGCCGGCTCCGCCCACACGGGCCCCACCGGCAGCACGTGGCTCCGCCCACGACGCCGGCTCCGCCCACACGGGCCCCACCGGCAGCACGTGGCTCCGCCCACGACGCCGGCTCCGCCCACACGGGCCCCACCCGCAGCACGTGGCTCCGCCCACGACGCGAGCCCCACCCACGCAGCGCGTCCCCCTCGGGTCTTGCGGGCCTCCTGGGTCCTGGCAGTTTCCGATCCCCCTTCTGTGCTGAAGGCGCCCACTTAGCCCGGTGTCCCTGCCTCGGGCGAGTGGGGAGCTGGGCTTCGAGCCGGGGAGAGGCCCCGCGGTTCCCTCTGCCCCCAGCCACGAGGTCAGCGAGCGCAGCGCCCTCTGGGAGTCCTTGGCGCGGGGTCACGTCACTGCGCCCCAGGCTTCCTTAGACCCCTTAGACCGCTGCGCAGAGCCCGGGACCCACGCACCGAGGCCCTCCGAGGTGTGGCCCTCGGTCACCCCGGCCCTCGCAGGCGGTGCCCCCTGTCCACTCTGCACAGGTGCCCCCTCCACACCGCTGTGTAGACCCCTGGTTCCCACAGAGCTCGTGAAACCCCAGCACGAAGCTCACACATGGCAGTGCCCTAGATATGCCTGGCTCTCTGCAGAGACAGGGTGCAGCGCCCCCCAACCCTAGACACCCATCCAGTCCCCGGGGCTATGAGCTGTGGCCAGCAGGCCGGACGGGAGGTGGGGCGGGCACACCTGCCGGACCCTCCATGTCCGGGTGTTGGGGTGCCGTCTCAGCTCGTGCAGATGGGCTTCCTGAGAGGGTCTCTGAGGGGTGCTGGCCTCCGCAGGCCGTGCCCTCGGGGGGCCGTGGTTGAGAGCCTGGTGGGCAGACCGCATGCCGGCAGGAGTGAGGCTCCAGGGCTCTGGGCCCAGCATCACAGTCAGGGCGCCGGGACCATGTCCACAGACAGGAGGGTCGGCTGTCGGAAGTGGCTGTTTCTCTTCAAAGTCCGGGTGGCGCTGGTCGGAGGCCCTTCCTGGAAGCCACGCCACCCGCACTGCGGAGCCCGGTGCAGGGAGCTGGCACCGGCAGACGCGTCTGTGTCCCCAGAGGGAAGGAGGGACTGGAGCCTCATCTCACCTGCCTCCTGGCCCCTGTGGACCCCCCGCCTTCCAGAGGCCCCGAGCGGGGCTGCCCTGGGACAGGTGGGACTTGACGGGTGGCCACCCCTCAGCCTGAGGCTCCCCCGGCTCCAGGGTGCAGTGTGGCCTCGTTTACCTGCGGACTCTCCCTGGAGCTCACCTGCACTCACAGGGCTGTCCTGTCCGAGCACTGACCTGTACTCCGCCATCCCAGTCCTGAGTGCTCACGGTCACTGCGAGCTGCTCCCAGGTCAGGTTCTAGGGCCGGCCCCTCGGCCCCTCGGCCCCTCGTGAAAGGCACCGTGAGTACATACCAGGCACATGTAATGAAGACCCGAACACGCCCGTGGGTGCACCTGGCAGCCTGCACTGGGCGGGTGGGGGCTGGGCAGCACGGCCACACCATCGCAAATGCATCGGCTCAGGCTGCACGCGGTGAGCAGCCACCTTGTCGGAGCGCCGCAGGGACAGAGGGCAGAGGGAAGACCAGCCCTCCCGGCGCAGCTCATATTTATCTAGGTTTCGCCAAGAAACCACCTTTGTCTTGGCACATGTGGCTCAGTTAGTTGGGCATCATCCCTCCCATGCACCAGGGGGTCGCCGGTTTCATTCCCGGTCAGGGCACATGCCCACGTTTCGGGCTTGATCCCCAGCGGGGAGGGTGCAGGAGACGGCCGATCGATGCTTCTCATATCGATGTTTCTCTCTCTCTCCCTCTCCCCCGCCCCCCTCTGGCTCTGGCTGTCCCTTCTTCTCTAAGATCAATAAAAACATATTTTGAAAAGGAAAGAAAGAGACTTTCACCTGTGTCCTGGAGGGGCCCGGCAGGGAGGGCCTGGGCTGGAGGTGCCTCGTCTGCACAGTCTTGCTCTGGGCAGATCCTGGGTGGCACAGGACATGGTGAGGGCCAGGGCCGCAAGGGCTTTCTGGGCTGCACGGCAATATCTGATAAAGGAGGTACCCAGGTGCCCAGTGTGGCTGCCCCGGGTCCAGGGCCACCCGAGGACACCTGGCCTGCGGTACAGAGCCCAGGGGACAGGGAGCTCGGCTATCAGGTCGGGGCCCTGGGGGTGGGTGGGGGCGTCCGCAGCTGGGTGGGGCCCGCTCTCCATGACTCCTCATCACACAAAGACCAGGCCCGAAATAAACAGTGGGGCCTGGTCTGAGGTCTGTGACTCTCCTCTCCTTGTAAGGACACTTCTCATAGGAGCCAACTTGTCGGTTTACTCTGCATGAGGGTGGCCGCGGGTGGGGCAGAAAGGAGCAGGCGGAGCCAGGACCCGTGTACACCCACAGGTGCACACGCAAGCCCACGCGCACACGGACGTGGGCAGGCGCGGGGAGCCCACGCAGAGCCGCGGAGGGGAGCCTGCACGCACGCCCACGCGGAGTCCGTTGCAGGGCTGGAGAGTGCTTGTCCCAGCCCCCTGACACTCGCCCCCACTAGAGGGCGCCGGCAGCACGGGGCTGGGCCAGGAGCCTGTCCTGCTGCGGGGCGGGCCTGGCGGCTCAGGGTTGTGTGGTTTCTGCCCCTCTGCCCCTGCAGGCCCAGCTCTCCCCCGTTATTCCCATCAAGCCCACCCCCAACCGAAGGTGGCCAGAGCCGAGGGACCAGCGCCCCTTGTCCCCGGCACATGTGAGGGCCAGGGACCGCTGGCTGACCTGAGAAACCACTGCCTGCCGGGCTCCTATTTCTGTCCTTCCTCTGGGCCTGCGGAAGGACGTGGGACGTTATCCAAGTGTCCGTTCGCCACGGGGTTGTCAGGGTGAGTGGGAAGACCATCAGAGGCGAGAGGGGCCTGGCGGGGTCCCTGACCCCTCCCACGTGGGCCCCCTGCCATCCCGCCCACCGAGGAAATGCACGCTCCGTGAGGGCCCAGGCACAGGAACGCCGCCCCTCCCTCCGGAGGGCAGAGGCTCCTCTGGGGGTGGGAAGACCCCCTCAGGCTGTGTGGCTGAGCCCGAAGGACCTGTACAAACGTGCTTCCCTGGCAACAGGCTAACCCAGCGGGGCAGGCGGGTTGTGAGGGGCAGATCAGGCCGCTCCCTGCAGCCCGCAGTGTGGGTGACCGCTCGGTGACCAGGGCGGTGGCCCCGGGCTGTGGTGCACAAGGCAAGGCCCACACGTCTCCCCACACCGTCAGTGTGGCCGGAAGGAAGGCCGCCCGGGCCCCGCTGACCCCGAGGAGCCAGCTTGCTGCGGCCTAGGGATCCGCCCTCAGGACTCTCAGTGTAAGTCACGGCCCAGGGTCCAGAGTCCACTTGGGACCAGTCACCCCCGTTGTGAACTCGTCTCCCAAGCCCCGTGGGTCACCCAGCCTAACGGCCATCTTGAGAGACACTCGGGGACCAGGCCGTCTTTCTCCAGAACAGCTGGCTCTGCCTGCGGCCACCCCACCCGCCGCCGATGGAGGCCGGGCCTCACCCAGAACCCCCAGGGGCAGGCCGCCCCCGGCCCAGGGCGCCCCACAGTGCCCGGGGCCTCCCCGGAGAGGCTCCTCGTCCCACCAGAGACCAAGCTCCGAGCCCCCAGGTGCGCTCCCTGCCTCCCAGGTTTCCTGAAATTTGCAAAATGAAGCGGTTTTTAACCACGCGCGGTGGAGACCGCTGTCCGGCAGCCTGTCTCCCCGTCCTGCTGGTCTCGGGTCGCTGGGTCCAACCCAGGGGGTGCAGTGAGGGTGCATCTAGGTGGGGCAGGTGGGAGGTGTCTACAGGTTCCCGGGCAAGGCCAGCAGTGGCCTCCAGGAGGACCTCTGTGGCCGCCAGCTCACCCGTCCTGCTGGCACCACATGGCGCAGAGAGGGGCACAGGGCCGAGGGCGGCGGGATGTGTCGGGGGACACGGATCCACCACGAGGGCTCAAGTCTGGCTCCGGACCCTGAGCTCAAACCCGGGCCCTCGGCTGGTCTGTGCCAGGAGAGCTGGCATCCTGGGCTCCGCGTGGCCCTCCCCCACCTGGAACAGCACAGCTCCGCGGCTCCCCGGGGACCCCGCCTGCCCGGGGCTCCCCGAGGACCCCACCTGCCCGGGGCTCCCCGACAGGGCCTGGCTGGCCTGGGGCCCCCGCAGTGCTTATGGCCGTCACCTTGGGAAAACGAGGTGCGTCAAGTCCAAAGTGAGTGAGTTTATTTTCAGGGTATGAACGCTACGTATACAGTCGTGTAGGAGACACTTCTGAGGGAGGAAAAGCCAGGAGCCCCCAAGGCCGCTGCCCCTCACCGGGGCCCCCGGGGGGCTGGGTGGCGCTCCACCTGGTGGGTGTGGGCCCCGAAGCCCAGGCTCTGCAGCATCTGGCTGCGTGCTGCCGGCGGGGGACACACAGGACCACCAGCAGCTTCGAGTCACCCCCTTTAAAGAGAGAAGTGACGGGGGGCCCCAGGAAGGAGCTCCAAGCAATAGGGCATCTCTGGAATCTGTGGGCCCAGGTGGCTGCGGGCCAGGCGGCCTGGGGGCGGCCGAAGGGGGGTTGCAGGGCCCAGGGGTTGTCTCCCCACACCAGCCCGGGGTCAGCAGACAGGGCACAGCGGTGGGGTGCCCGGGGGAGGGGCACCAGCCTCCTCCTCTGCCTCCAGGACCGACAGGAGGGTGGGCAGTGGGGGCAGAGGGGACGCAGGGAAGGGAGGAGCCGAGGGACCAGGAGGGAAGCTCTACAGCCATGAGCCAGGAAGGTT